GTCTGGTGGTCTGGTGTCCTCTGTGTCTTTGTAGTGTGGAACCAGGTGGCTGCCTGTCTGCAGCGGGGTGATTCGGTGTCTTCCGCGCGACTCAGGACCTCGGTAGGGCGTGCACAGACCTGCCTGTCTACAGCGGGCTGATTCAGCGTGTTCTGTGCGATGAAGATGTTCTTTTCTAAACTCCTGTCGCTTATGGGATCTCAGCACCTGTGGAATCCTACAGGTCCTCACTGAGGTCCTGGGAGGTCTCTCCTTCAACACCTCAGCTTCTGGCTCCATTTGTCCAAACCCCTCTCTCCTTGGCTCACCTCATACCAGGCATATGCCCAGTGGCTGCCCACCCACCCGTGTCCAGGAGGGCAGGCCCTGCCTGGAACCCACTGCTCCCTCTAAAGAACAAGCTACTGGCCTGCCATCTAGGACAGCTAATCACAGCACTCAGGGCCTTTCTCCACCCCTCCCCACAGCAAGGAGGGGCTGCCACCCAGCCTGCTGGGGCCCAGGACCTGAAGGCAGGGAGAAAGGACCCCAGCTCCAGCATCCCCAGCAGATTCTGAGGGCAGCAGAATGAAGGTTAGTGGGTTCGAAGATGGAGAGAAAATGACCCAGTAGCCAAGACCTGTCTTCTGTGGGAGAGGCGGTGCTGCGGATGGGTCCCAGCAGGGGCAGCATGTAGGGAACAGGGAAAGGGGACGTTACTAGAACCTCTGCAGTAAGTCCTAGTCTTCTGCGAGCCACGGCAGCACAAGGTGAATTACAGGAAAGGTAGAAAAAATGAGACTGAGAAGAAGCTGAGCTTTGGGTCTGATCAGTGCTGCTCTGGGCCGAAAAGACGAAAGCCCCCAGCTTACCGCGCTTTTTATTCAGTACTCAGTACATCGGGAGAAACAGATGTAACAAGTGACTTGCAGAGAGTTCAGTACATCCCGGTAAACAAGATGTAACAATCCAAGAACAATGAGGGACTGAGTAGATGAAGATTTTGTTCCTCCCAGGATGTCTTCAAGCTGGTGTAATCTTGTCCTGGAGCATCACAGCATCACCGGATCATTGAGGTCTCAGTTGTGACCGGGGGCCAAAATGGAATTATGTCTCAGAATTCCATAGCTGGGCTGTAGGCAGGAGAGTTAGGCTAGCCAAATGATTTTACCCTAAAATTATGTAGCATTGCTCCCGAAAACAGCAGGTGGAGTCAGCAGCTCCTGGAAGGACACCAACTAGGCAGGGGCTGGGGGAAGGGAGGGAGGGGCACAAGCTGGGCAGCAGTGGCCGGCTGGGCCCTCCCAGGAGCCCTCTGGAGTGGCTCTCTGGGGAAGGGGAGCCCCTCCATCTGCAGCAAGTAGCTGAGGAGAGGAAGTGCCTGAAGAAGGACAGGGACGGGAGGAAGACAGGAGGGCTGGCCCTGGCCCCTGGAGCAGGGCAGGAGGGCGAGGTGGAGGAGGAGGAAGCAGGCCAGAGAGGCAGAGGGCATCTTTAGAGACCAGGCTGTGACCTTGACTTGTAGCAAGACAGCCTCCACTCACACTCGGCACAGGGATGGGGCGAAGGACGCTGGCGTCCCCTGGAGTGATGCCCTCCGAGGTGGAAGGTCCTTTCGGGACAGGTCTGAGAGACTCCGCTGCCTCCCCCAGCGCGCCCGCCCCACAGGCGGACGCCCTCCGCTGTCCCCTCCCCGCGGGGCGTGTCCCCCAGCAGGTGCTATTTGAAGGCGCGGGGAGCAGCGAGCAGGGGACAGCATGGCTGCCCGCGACCCGCCGCCCACCACCAGCTACGCACCGCCTGACGTGCCCTCAGGGCTCGGCCTGCTTCTCACCATCCCCTTTGCTTTCTTCCTGCCGGAGCTGGTGAGTGCGGCAGCGGCCACCCGGGGTGGGGTCCGGGAAGCCCCTGTCACCCTGTCGCGTCTGCCTGCCAGCCTGGGCCCGGGGCTCATACAGACAGGTCGTTCCTCCCTCCCAGCAGGGATGAGGGACAGGGCGCCCGTTGCCCGGAGGGGTGTGAATTCGACCTGGAATATCCCGGAGCCTTAGCGAAATACTGCAACGGGACTCTTAAGACATGGTCTCTTTCTCCAACAATTTGTAGTTTCTAAAAGTTCAGAACGGGAGGGTACTGTGGGTCAGTCTGTTGGGGGGTGGGGTGAGGTCGGGGTTCTGAATTGTCTCCTCCACGGACCTTGAACTTTGATTCATGTGGGCTCCTCACACCAGGGAGCTTGGGACAAGGTCCCATTATTAAGCGCTCCGAGATGCGCGGGTTGTACTGGGAAACCTGACACTGCGCCACTCTGGGGCCCGACTGTGGCCCTGCTCCCGGCCGGCTGGCACCCAAAAGGGCCGTCTGCAGAGCTGTCCACAACAATGTCCTGCAGAACCAAGTCCCACAGAGCTGGATGCTGTCACTCCCTTCACTGAGGGGACGAGAGTCTGGTGAACAATCAGGGCAAAGGAGCGCACTTTGCTCTCTGGACCCTTCTGAGAGATCACTTTGGGGCTGGTATCTTCTCACCTGCTCTGCATTTGGCAGTGTTGTCCTGAGCGGGGAGGGAAGATAGAGCGGCACCACCTGTAAGGAGGACCCGACCAGCCATCTCACTCTTGGCCCTGATTCAGTGAACTTCAGGCAAACTAGTTAAAGGGTGGCCACTAATGTCCCAAGGAAGGGAAGCCAGGCGGAGTGGGTGCAGCCTGTGAGAGGCTCCGGCTGAAACTCCACCCAAGAAGCAGGTTCTGCCAGGGCTGCCCCCTGGGCACAAACTTGGCCTCCTGCCAGATTGATGACATCTCAGTGCTCCTGCAAGTGCTGTGTGCCAGGACCTCGGTATGTCCCTCATCTAGGCACAGCCAAAAGGTCTGCCAAGGCCATGGTTGGCTCCACCACTTTTTATTGAGTGTGAGCTCTGTGTCATTCATGCAAGCCACGAGTGCTGAGCCTGCTGCTTCCCGAGGGTCCTCACAGACCCCGGAATTTCTCTTCTCTGTGGTCAGGCTTTGGCAAGAGCCAGGAGAGACCATCTGTACCTGCCTGGTCAGGGAGGGGTCCTGGCCTGTCACTGGCATCTGAGGACTGGCTGGAGTTCCAGGCTGGGTGGCAGAAGAGACTCCAGGAGGGAAGAAAGGACAGAAGGCTGGAGGGATGGCGTTTCTGGAATCAGGAAAGCACTGGGGGAGGTCACTGTGAGAGGTGTCATCCTGTGCCCCCTCCCCACTGCAAGTGGAATTCCCGGAAGACAAGCTCCTGCTTATTGGGCCCTGGGATTTGATCTGTTTGGGAGGAATGGGAATATTGCCATTGGTCCACTTTTATTCATTATATTTTTAAATAACTTCAGATTTGTCACAAAGCTGCAGTCATAGTACAGAAGTTCTATCTGTCCCTCACTCAGCTTCCTATCCCACCCACATCCCCCATAGCACAACTCTCAAAATCAGGAGATTAACATGAATGCTGTGCTCTATTCTATTTGGATTTTGCTCATTTCCCTCCACGAATGTCTTTTTCTGGTTCAGAATCCAGGCTAGGATCCCCACATTGTGTTGAGTTGTCCTATCTCCTTTGTGTCCTCTAACTGGGACAATTTCCCAGTCTTTGTCTCAGTGCTTTGGTAGGAGGACTAGACAGTTATGCGTACAGTACCCATCTATGTGGCCCTGCCTGATGTTTCCTCTTGTAACTTTATTTATAAATTTTATTCACTGTTGGAAACATGAATATAATGCATATATCGGCATGCATCCATATATGGATGACTATCTATTAAATGGACTTCTCCTGTGTATGCTGTTCTCACCTTAAATGTGCATTTGTGGCACAGAATCCAGAAGCGAGTGTTTCTCAGATCTGGGGTGAGGAACAGGGAGGTGAGTAGGAAAGCAAGAGAGAAAGTGAAAGTGGGTGGCAGTTCTGACCCCACTGAACAGAAGACACACTGGGCAGAGAAAGGAAGTGAGGAATCAGCCTCACACAGTCCCTTGCTCCAGCCCTGGTGGCCTTCGAATGTCACCAGGACAGCAGGAGAGCCCAGGGTCCTAGGGGCTGGCTGATTCTTAGTCTTGGGGCCAAAGGCACCAGAGACAGGTATATGTTTTTCTAAGGACAAGAGTTCAGAGAATGGATTGCAAAACTGGGAGTTTAGGCCAGCTAAGGGAAACAGAGAAAATGAAATCCAGTCACCAAGAGTGGGTGTTGTGGGGGTGGACTTCACACTGCAGTGCCTGCAGCCACCTACCACCTACCTGAGCCACTGTTTATAAACCACCAGACAGAAGGCCTGTGCTGAGGACTTTCCCATGTGACACAGGGCCAAAACAGGATGGGCATGGGGATGCACACCTCTAATCCCAGCTATTTGGGAGGCAGAAGCAGGAGGATTGCAAGTTCAAGGACACTGTGGGTAACTTAGGGAGACCCTGTCTTACAGTAAAATAATCAAAAGCACTGAGCTCAGCACTCACTGAGTTTAATCCCCCACACTGAAAAAACAAAAACAATCAGAGGCCTGGGATTTAGCTCAGTGGCACCTCACCTGCCTTGCAAGCTCAAGGTGGTGAGTTTGATCTTCAGTACAAAAAAAAAGACTCCTACTCCAAGGGGTCCTGTGGTTTCTCCACTCACCTGCCCTCCCCTGCAGCCTGCTCTTACTGATCTTTTTCTAAGATGCTTCATTTTCAGGTTTTTGACAGTAAAATTCATATTTTTTAAACTCTTTATTCTGCAGTAATTATAGATTCCTAGGAAGTTGCAAACTGGGAACCACCACTCCTGTCACTACTATTTTGTTATTTTGAGAACGTTATGAGTCAGTGGACACCTATATATGTGAGCTTTTGTGACAGGCCTTCTCCACTCAGGATGATGCTTGTGACTCCCATCCATGATGTCACCCATGCCAATAGCTCAATCCCACTTACTGCCGAGTGAGGTCTGTCTAACCCATCACTGTTGAGAAACAGTCCCCATATCTCCAGTTCCTGGTCATTCCACATAAAGCCACCATAGGCACCCACCAATGGGCTTCTTTGTGGATGGAATTTTCAGTTCTCTGGAGGAAATGCCTGGGTATGACTGCTGGTGGAATAATAACTCTCTGCTTGGTTTTTATTAAGACATTAATAAGCTATCTTGCAGGGTGACTGGAAAATAATTTTTGAATTTTATATTCCTGCCAGCAAGGCATGAGATTTTAATACTACCATTCATGTTCTAGTCTATGTTCTGTTGAATTTGGACTTCTCATTTGAAAATAGTAATTTGAAAACATAATCTCCCAAGTGTGAGGAACTTTTGAATCAATGACTTTTAAGACAAGAACAGACCTCCATTTATTCCCTCTCTCCTCTGTGTACCAAGAGTGGAGCCAGCGCTGGGCTGCGGGTGTGAGCACCAGGCCTGCCTCATTCCTAACAGCCAGCATCTGGATGGCCAATGACCCGTCGCTCGATGACACGTGTGGTACCAGTTGACTCCCAACTTTTTTGGAGGGAGGGGGAGATAGTGGGATTGAAACCAAGATTATACCCTCAGACATTTTTTGTTTTTTATATTTTGAGACAGGGTCTCAGAATGTTGCTAAGTCCAGGCTGGACTCAGAATGCTGAGATGACCGGTGTCCGCCACCACACCCAGCTAACGCCTAAGCTTTTTATACAAGCTAAGAGGTGGAAGCCAAGAGCCCCCACAGGTGTCTGTCACAGAAGGAATGCTTTGTGACTGAGAGTCCAAGAAAGTCAGATCTTTTAACTTTTACAGTTAATTAGATTTTTGTCTAATTAAAAAGAAAGAGCTAAGAAATCTTCTAGCGACTCAGCTAGTTTAAAAGAAGCGAGGGTTGGAACACTCTTTGATATTGGATGTTTTCCTTCCAGCGTCTTGCCTCGCCCACACACCAGTCAGAAGGAAATACTCAGAAGCCCTGAGAAGCTCATTCTGGGCTCCTCTGACCTGGGAAATCTATCCTTATGTTTCACCCCAAATCCTTGGTTTCACCTTAATGTCAACCCGCTCCTCCTCTTTTTTTCATATTTATGGGCCTGTTAGGAGCTTCCTGAAGCCGGGACTAGGGGTAGGAGCTGGGGGAGGACCCAGGGCCCATCTCAGGCAGTGGCGTCCCCTTCTGTCTTAGTCACTTTCTCATGGCTGGGACACAATACCCAACACCTACAATTTAAAGATGGAGAGATTTATTTTGGCTCACAATTTGTAGGTTTTAGTCCACAGTCAGCTGGCTCCAAGGCAGGGTGGTATGGCAGTGGAGAACTGTTCCTGGCACTGCAGACAGGAAGCTGAAAGAGATCAAGGGAGAAGGAGGGAGATAGACCCTTCCAGGCCACGCCCCTAGTGACCACCTCTTCCAACCAGGCTTCACCTCCCATCATCACATTCAGCTATAAATTCGTCCATTAGTGAACACCACCAGCAAGGCATGATCCAGTCACCTCTGAAAAGCCCCACCCATGGGTGCATGAGACTTTTCCGGCCATCTAGATATAAACCATGACACCTTCCTTATGACCAGTCCATAGAAGCTGAGCTTTCTGAAAATTATATGTCCTTTCCTGTGCTGTCCTCTGCTCCCTTTTCTGTCTTCCTGTTTCTGGGCCAAGGGGACAGTCACCTCTGTTCACCAGCTATTGTCTCATCATCTCTCCTGCTGCCTCTCTCGGCTACTTCTGGGCCTTCCTGCTGACCCCACCACCACCACTCAGCCTCTCCCCAGCATGGGACAGCACCCTGCCCCTCTGTCCGACCAGATGTGGGAGCCACCTCTGTGCCAGGGCACCCAGAGTCCCATGGGAACAGCGTCCAAGGATGTCCCCCAGAGGACACAAGACAAGAAAGAGTGAAC